TTATCCATACCGTGGTGAATTCGTTCCGCAACTAATCTCTATTATTGGTGAGCTTAAGTCCTCATCCTCAGTAGTTTGGAGGAGATAATTTTTGCTGTTGGCAGCCTGCTCATTATGCTTACCGAAAGGGGAAAAAAAAGGGTAGAGATTAATCAGAGCAAAAGATAAATGCTTTTCAAGTAGATTTAGGAGATACCAAAAAACTACAAATCAAAAGTGATAACAGTTATGATGACTTCCCTCATCTAAATGAATAATAAATCATACTGTTGACATGCACACACAACTCAGGTCAAAAAAAAAAAAAAAAAGACATGCACACACAAAAACATAAAATTTATTGATTCAAATTAATTAATAAGAAGAGTGAGAGTAAGGCGTGAAGTTATATATTTGTGTTACAGTGAAGATAGCTAGGAAGCTACTGGAAGAGATTACCAAGAAGGCATACATATAACTAAGCAGCCTTAGGAATTAGGATGGTCCAGCTCCAGAGTCCAGAGCAAAGCAAAGCAAAGCAGAAGCTTTCAAATATTATGTATTTGGAAACAGAAAGAAGGAAGGACCACACTAGCGATAGGGTTACGGAGGTAGGGAGAGATCATGAGAAATAGTTACAAGTTTCAAGCATGGCCCTCTCTCTCTGTTGCTGTTCTTAATGATGCTTCACAGACACCCCGCCATTTGTGCTCTGCTCCTTTTCCAATCTCCCATGTTTTTATATATTTAATTTCCCTCACTATTCATTTATATTTTTTTACACAAAAGAAAGAGGCTACTACCTCGTAAGACTTTTCAAATCATTACAATAATAAAGATAAAATTCCAATATGACCGTTGTTGTCTTCGTGTGTGTATTTATTTAATACTACCTCCGGTCCTAGTTGATTAATTTTAGAAGATTAAAGAAAGAAGTCAAGTTAGTTATTTGTAATAAATATGTGTTGTTTTTCCTAAAATATTCTTACTAATCAAATGTATTGGTTAGAGCTACTATTATTAGAAGGACTACCTTGAAAAAAGAAATATAAATATGAGAGACAAAATAGATTGGGGTCTTATATTTAGAACCAAAATAAAAGTCAAACAAGATCTTATATTAAGCACCAGAGGTAGTATAATTTAAATTTTTATTAATAAAAATAATAAAAAATTTTAATATGTCACACTATTTATATGTTATGATTTGTTTTTAAAAACGTGTATGATTCATGTGACCAATTTATTATATTTTTAATGTGCATTATTGTTGAAGAAATCATAAATAATGCAACAATCTAAAAATATGTAACAATTGAAAACTTGTTCAAAACATATTCGGTTATGTTCCAGCCATAAGAATAAAAGAGCTATGCAAATAAGACCGATCAATGAATTTTTAGCTTGATATATACTCCTTCCGATCTTTAATATAAGACTTAATTGAATAATTTAAGTAGATTAAAGAAACTAGTTAAATTATTTATTTATAATAAATAAGTGTTGTTTTTCCTAATATATTTTTACTAATAATGTGTATTGACTAGAACTACCATTATTATAAGAACTATTTTGGAAAAAAGTTGATAAATATAAAAATAAAATAGAGTCTTATATTTATGATTAAAATAAAATTCAAATGAAACTTTTATATTAAGAACCATAAATAATATATTAATATAGACATATGATAAATTAAAATAGTTCTTTCAAAGGCGTTAGCAGAATTTATTTTTCTTCATGAAAAAAAAAAAAACTGAAACCTTTGTACTTATAACCTATTTTACCATAGTCATCAATGCCTGTTAGGCTATTGAGTTTTTCAAGATTAATTGCATTTTGTACCAAGAACATATTTTCTTTCATATTCCCTCTTTTTTTTTTTTTGCCAACAATATTCCTTCTTTAAATTTCTACTTTTTGCAATAATTAATAAGGAAAAATAATATAAAAAGAAGTTAAAAATTACAATATTCTAATTTAAGCACCTAAGAATTCAAAATCCCAAAGGAGGAAGTGGTGCCTAGACTACTGTCTTGCAAATATATTCAAATAACTAAAATGCCCTCATATCATATTTTAAAGAAAAGCTATCAAATTTGTCAATGTCATTATATTTCTTGTTATTAGCTGTTTAATAATTGTTATTGTCAGTTCACAACTTGTTAATAATTAAATAAATTGTCATTGCCAATATGCTTTTTGTCATTTGTTGTTCAATACTTGTCATTACTAATGTATAACTTGTTAATAAACTCTGTGATATAATATTATTTTTATCATTTAACTATATTTATAAAATACTTAATTAGGCATTACTTCTTCTGTAGGGATTTTGAAGTTTGAGATGCTTGAATTGAAATATTACAATTTTTAATTTTTTTATATCATTTTCCCTAATAATAATTAGATGATTTAATAATAATTTGGCGTCATAATCTCTTGTGAGTATAGGCGGTGGGCGAACGTGATTGCCCTACGGGTTGGCCTAAATCCAAAAATGCGCGCAATGCGTAATGCACCCCCCCCCCCAAAACACTTTCTCTGACACTACCCTCCAAATCCAAACCCGTCTAAAAGGATTCTGACGTCATCCTGGGCCTATGGCCCAATGAAATTTGGCAAGCGGCGGAGGAACAGGACCACCCTTTAATTTTTGTAATAAAATATCCTCAAAAATAAAAAAAAATTATCATTCCCTTCCTTCTTTCTACTCCACGCTCCTTCCTCGCTCGTGAAATATACTCTCCATCCCCTTCTTTCCTATGCATTATACTGGAAATAATCAATGACAGAAAATTTTTTTAGGAGACGTGTCTACATTAAATATCCAAAAATACTTTGAACAGTATTATCTTAATAAGATTATATATGTGCTTATAATAAAAATAACAAAAAAAAAATTAATTTGAAGGTTTGTATAGTTTCATCTTATTTTTAATAAAGTTTTTATAATTTTTTCTTACGTTCTTATAGTTTCACCTTATTTTAATCAAGTCCTATAGTTTTTTATTATATACTTATAGTTTCACATGATTTTTAATTAGGTCCAAATAAATTTTTTATCAATTATCTAAAACTATGTGATCTGATTAAAATCATGTAAATTATAAAAAACCGGATAAAAAGAAAAAAGTATAGAGATCTAATTAAAAATTAAGTGAAACTATATGGACTTGTATAGATTAAGTTGTCCTAAATGATATTGATGTATGCATTGAACTCGTAATAATAAATAACGCAAAAAATTAATCTAAATAGAATTTTATTTGATTTTTAATTAACTCTTTTTGTAGTTTTTTTAATAATGTTACGCTCTTATTATTTCATTCACCTGATTTTAATTTGATCCTTGTACTTCTTTTTATGAGGTCTGTATAGTTCACATATTCTTCATTAGGTCCCTAAAGGTTTCTTCTCCTTTTATTAATCACCTGAAACTATAGGGATTTGATTAAAAATCAGATATAATTATAAGGACCTAATAACTATAGGTACATGAGGATAGGCGAAACTATGGACTGCAAATTATTTTTTCCTCAATAATATTCATTTATACCACAGAAAATGATCCACTAAACGTGCAGAATCGCTTTGAAATGTGTGCGAAGTTCGTGGATCTTCTGATGAAAACTCGATTACGACTCGTAAATTGACTGCTTACACATGGGATTTAACTGTTTATGTCGATTGAAATAGAATATATAAAGGAAAATGCTACTTATTTGAACATGACAGCAAAATGAAAGCACACCAAAAAGGAGAAATATATTTTCGTTTTCATGAATGTAATATGTCGTCTTAGGAGAGCAATGAACGTAAGAACGAAGCATCTAAATATTAAATTTGCAAACAGGACTAAGTAGTGTAGGAGAAAAAATGTGGCAAAAGTTGTTAATTACCAGGATCCAAACTAAACGCAAAAGTTTTTCGTTTTATTTCTCTTCTTCTTTTGCAGTTTTAATTTGCGCGGTTTACAGACTTGAAAATAATTCGGCTTGCAGCATCAGACTTCACGTAATGTACGTGCAAGACTTGCTATCTAGCTCCCCCCCTCCTTATGATATCTGATTGTTAATATGTGATTTTAGCTATCGGCAATATAAGAAAACTGCAGACAAATTCCTCAATTCGATAAATTGCATGCCCCTCCCTATGAAAACATTAGTTTAAGAAGAATGTAATTCTAATTCTCTACTATATAACAGGTTACCAGAAGAAAAGTTGCCACACGAGAGGGTAGGGTTTCTGCTATGTCTACTTCTTTCCTTGCAATATTATTACTTAAAGGCGTAACAAGAAAAATATTGCAAGAGTGAAACTAAAAGTTTTTCCTTTTCAATCTGAGTTATTCATTATTTGGCGCTTGGATTAATAATTAATATGAATTAAAATAAATTTAAGTGGATGACAATTCAATAATAAAGCTTTGTTAACATGGTTTTGTTCATTTATAGAGCCATCAATCTTATAATCTTACTTAAGAAGCATCAAATTCCTTGTGGTCATAAATTTTATATATATTGGATCCCTTCAGTTCTATATATAAGAGAATTTTTAGGGATATTCTGTTCCAATTTATAAAAATCACTAATAATTTGTTTAAAATTTTTAATATCATTTTCGTTTTCTTCTTGTATTAATCATATGCACACTCACTCTTTTTATAAATAAGGATATTTTTAGAAATAAAGTTATATCATATATATTGTCTTGAATTAAATTTTTAATTTATTAAATGTGTTTATTTATATCTTATGAAATTAAAATACACGAGGAAATATCAGTGAGAATGTGATTAGTTGATGAATGATAATTAGGGTTAAAATAGACATGTGAGAAGAAGGGAGAAAAGAAAGGTGAAAGCGCGTGGACGTGAAAAGGAATGCAAAATGGAAAGAAGAGGGGAGGAACGAGACTCCGATCGGTGGAGTACTTTAATACACCAATAAATATTGAATTAGATGGGCAGACATTGGACCACTCCATCTTCTTCTCTCTTTCACACCCTTCCCTCTCTTATTTTAGCAACATTTTTCATCTCTCTCTTCTTCCCTATTCCTTTCATCTCTCCCTAGTTGCTCTCTCTCTCTCTCTCCCTGCGAGTTCTCATCAGCTTCGGAGAAGAGAAGCAGCTAGCTAGCTAGCTATCAGCTAGCAAACCTAGGCACACAGGACCCACAATAACCAGACGATCCCAGACACTGAAACCCATCTGAAAAAGCCTGGAAAAGACTCCTACTTAGGAATTTTCTCTCGGGATTCGTTCCCGTCCTAATATTCCTTCTTTTTCTCTTAAATTAAATCCCTCATGTCGCTGTGAAATCAATATCAGATACACGCGCAGATGAAGCTAGCTAGTTTGATGAAGATGGAGCTGTGAATAAGATTCCCAGGTTGTGGCTGTGAGCGACTACTATCATGTGGCGGCTCTTGGTGTTTGTTTTATAAGTTGCAGGCAAAGGACGATATTTTTCTTTTCTGTTGCCCCTGGTCCTTCCTAAATCCTAAGTACTCAGTTCAGAGAGACAAGGTCAGTTTTGTTGACGATATGTATTTGACAATTATTGTATTCCATTAAAATAGTCCTTCTTCTTCTTATTTATCTATTTATTTATTATTTGTATTAAATAGTCGGGTGAGAAATAATTGAGGGAATTTCCATGGTTTCTTTCTTTCCTTTTTTTTCTAATTAAAAAAATTTAATTGGCCATTGCACGAAGTCTAATTTGGTTGTATTTTTATGTTGCATTGACCCACACTTCTTCTCCCAGAGAGAAGAGAGAGAGAAATATCAATGATGATCACAGCTTGAGGGTCATCATCACCCATCTGGTCTTCTTCTACTTGTGAACAGATATAACTCTATCTTTTTCTTCTTGCTTGCTTTATTTTTCATGGGACTCTCCTTGTTTGCTTATTAACAGAACTCGTCCGATAAAAAAGCTCCCCCTCCACTAACCACCGTCCGTCACCACGCTCTTCCTTTTCCGGTAAGATCTTATTCTGTGTCTCTGTCAGTTAATATCTTCACAAGAATTCTCTCCACCTTTCTAATCTGGGGCAAATAGGAATTTGGTGTTACATATCATATATATCGGTATCGATCACCTTTGATGCTTTTTAAAGGTACTATCTGGTGAAAGATCAGTCGACGATAGTTATGAAACCTGGGCTGGAGAAACTACATCTCATGCACTTGTGATAAAAATAAGGAACTACTGATTGATGGCTGGAGAGATGTGTGACGACAAGCCCAGGGAGATGGTATCATCGTCAGCTGGATTCTGCTACTCCGAGGTATCAACGGGCAACCCAGGGATCCAAAGCCATATGGGGAATCATCAGATCCAAGGGTTTGAATCCGACCCGGACATGTTCAGCCTGACGGCGAGCATGGACATGATTGGCTTCCCCAAGAATCTTCAGCAGCAAAGTGAAAGTAACAGCCTCGTTTGGAAAAGCTTTCTGGGTAATAAACCCACCCACCACAATCCGGGTCCTTCTTCTTCCAAGACGACCATGAATAATGAGTCTGGTTCCACCAATTTCTATCAGTACACCAAACCAGATTTCACATCCAACGATAATGATCTGATTGTAGGAGGAGCTCCAAATCATCATGATTCTTCGTCTACCGCTTGGCCAGATAACAGGTTACTTGTGGATGATTCTTCTTTAAGGTGTGTGTTCCCTTGCGAAGGAAACGAAAGGCCCAGTCAGGGCCTTTCGCTCTCTTTGAGCTCCAATAATCCCTTAAGCATTGGGTTACAATCTTTTGAACTAAGACAGACCAACAACCACCACCATCATCAGAACCAACCGGACTTTGTTTCTTCAACTAGTGGAGACAAGTTATTGTTGGGAAAATCAGTGAATCATCCTCATCATCATCAACAACAACAAGAAGCTGGTAATCTGTATCAAGGCCATTTTCTGCTTAAGAACTCCAAATATTTGGTTGCTGCACAGGAACTTCTCAACGAGTTTTGCAGTCTGGGAACGAAGCAAAGTGACATAGTGAAGCAAAAGTCGTCATCAAGTCAGAAAAACCAACAGTGGGAAGATGATAACGGAATCGGTCCCTCCAAGAAGCATCCCGTTGGCTCTCTAGAATTTATCGAATTACAGAAAAGAAAGACCAGACTACTCTCCATGCTTGAAGAGGTATTCAATTACAATATTCCCAACTTTCTTATATTTCTTTTTTAAATTTATTCTTATATCTATATATATATATATATATATGTTCGAAGGTTGAGAGGAGATACAGGCACTACTGCAACCAAATGAAGGCGGTGGTGTCGTCGTTTGAGGCGGTGGCCGGGACCGGAGCTGCGAGGGTTTACTCGGCGTTGGCATTGAAGGCGATGTCGAGGCATTTCAGGTGTCTGAAAGATGGGATATTGAGTCAGATAGAAGTGGCAAGAAGAGGCATGGGAGAGAAAGATCCAGTTGCACCAGGAACAACAAGAGGTGAAACGCCAAGACTCAGAATCATAGACCAAGCTCTCAGACAACAGAGAGCTTTCCAACAAATGAGCATGATGGAGAGTCATCCATGGCGACCCCAAAGAGGCCTTCCCGAAAGATCCGTTTCAGTTCTTCGAGCTTGGCTTTTCGAGCATTTTCTTCATCCGTATATACATCTCTCTCTCTCTCTTCTCTGTTGTTTGGTCTTATTCTCTTGTGTTGTGTGATTGATGGAGTGAAGTAATACTAATATAAGTAGGCTAAAAGTTACGTTTTGTGAAAGAATCAATGTTTTCTCCAAAGCTAAAAGGAAAACAAACAAGTGGCAGTTCATGTGGGGGATAGCCTCCCTATTTGTGTTTTTCTCGTATAGAATCTTATTCATATTTGCTTTGCAAAAAAATGCTCCGTTTTTGTACGTTCTGTGCATCACCATTCAGATTCCATCTTTCGGTTTTTTGTCTCTTTAATCATTTCTTTTCTTTTCTTTGTCTTTTTTTAATCCGTAGGACCCATTAATTCCTGTCTATTTTATGATTTTATCTCTTACGGCCATTAAAAGGTCATACCTTTTGCAGGTACCCAAGTGATATGGATAAACATATCTTAGCTCGCCAAACTGGTCTCTCAAGAAGCCAGGCATGTTCATTAATTATCTTCCTTGATTGATTTATTTACTCATTCATTTCATAATAATTTTCCATTCAAACTATGAAGAATTTAATACTACCACAAGTCTTCAACGAAATAAAAAGATAACATTAAAAGACCGGGTCTGATTATTATTGCTTATATATTGTTATGATTTCTGTACGTCATTGGAAACCCTCGTTTGGTGACACGTATATTTAATTCCAAAGCAGGTGTCAAACTGGTTTATTAATGCAAGAGTGAGGCTGTGGAAGCCAATGGTGGAAGAGATGTACTTGGAGGAAACAAAAGAGCCTGAAAACAACATGGCCTCTTCTGAGGGGGTCACTGATCCCGCCGTGGACGACAACATCTTGACCTGCAGCCGGAACCTCGATAACCCACCTCCGACAACGCGTCTGGTAGATCAAAAGCCGCTCCAGAACCACCGGTTGCTTCGAATAGACTCCGAGTGTGTGTCTTCTATCATAAACAACAACCCAGATCACAAAAACGAATCCACCAAGAACAATAATCCGCAAGATCACCAGTGTGGTACATTTGGAGCTGGAGAGCTTGACTTTTCATCATACAACACTCACAACTCTGCAGCTCGCATGGTTTCTTACAGTAGTGAGAATGGGAATAATAGTAATCAGAACTATAACAGTGGAGGTGTTTCATTGACGCTAGGGTTACAGCAGCACGGAGGAAGTGGGGTGAGTCTGGCGTTTCCTCCGCCGTCTCAGGCGTCACTGTTCTATCCAAGAGATCAAATGGAAGATTGTCAACCTGTTCAGTACTCGCTTTTGGACGGTGAAGCTCAAAATCTTCCTTACAGAAATTTAATGGGTGCACAGTTGCTCCATGACTTGGCGGGATAGATGCTTCAGTACTTTAATTAGATAGGTACTAATATATATATATATATATATATAGTTATATACACACACACTTGTCACTTGTTAAGCATCATTTACATTAATTAAGGCTACATATATAGTTTGATCTTTTGAACCATGTGCACTCTCTCAGGGCTCGTCTGATTTGGAATTGGAATTGTCAAGTGATTGATGATGCAAAGATTATATACGTATTTCATTTAATGCTTTCGTTTATACGTGACGATTGTTTGAAAGGATGTGTTATGAGCACAAGTCCAAGAAGAGAGTTCAATTCCAAAAAGATTAACTTGTTGGATAGAAAAGCCCCTAACTTATAAATCACATTTCTCGATATGAAACTTATAATAGGATGGTGTTATGTTTAGATGAGAGCTTATTATCTATGACAGTGTATTATAATTGTCGTTGGATAGAAAACGAGAATAATTAGAAGCGGGAAAAATCAGAGATAGTTTTGGAGGGTGTGGTCCTAAGATTCACACAAGGACTGGGGAGGATGATACACACACACATATTTACAACATGTATATATATATGGTGCCAATAAGAAAGGGAATTGCTTTATGGGACGTCAACTTGAGAGGATTGATTTTTTGTGCATGCAACGCACTTTCTTTTTCTGCCAGTGATGAAAAGATACCTTTTCAATTTCAGTGTGGGAGGCATTTGGATTTTGAGAGGAGAGTAGGCCTTTATATATGCCCTTTAATTTCAAGAATCCAACTTGTCTATTTGAAAGATCCACCAACAAATTCCATCTCATCCATCCTCCCATCATCATCAGCATTTCTCACAGATTATATTATACGTATTTATTATTAAATTATATATATGTACACACACATATATTTTTTATGTTAATGAAAAGTTACTATCAGTGGGGTCTCCAAACATATTAAGGTTTCAAGGTTATATGCAAGTATTTAGATTCATACAAGTTGACAGCGGAATTATTCTAATTCATGGGGATAGAAATGTAAAATTATATGATGAGCTTTATCAGGGAAGAAAATGGCAATTGGGTAAAACAATTCACCAAATGTTTTGGATTTCATCTTATCACTCAAGAAGAACTTTTGGGTATCCTCAAAGATCTTAATCTTTGCTAAGTTGAAAATTACTCTCAAGTTAGTGTTTGCTCTAATTTAATTATTTGTTTAAGGTGCTTTATGTTAGATTTATCCATAAGTAAAATTTCCTAAATAATGATTGCCCCTTCTTATTTGTTCTCCCAAAAGGATTAGAGATTGGATTATCACTTTTGATCAATTTTCGGAGTGGTAAAATTAATATGCAGATTGTCTTTTTGTCATTAAGTGTATCACGTGGCTATGAATGTCGGGATTCTTGGGGAACCAAGTTTAGAATTCAGGGATCTTTTGGTCATTTCACGATTTAATGCCGCGCGTGACTTTGTATTCAGAAAGGCCAAGTCTTCAAGTCTTACTATCAAGTTAGAACATGCTTCTAATTTATAAATTTAAACTTTTACCTAAATACTTATAAATTACTTATAAAAACTTTTATAATTGATATTTTCCATTTTTGTAGATACAAAGTTATATGCCCAAGAAAACTTAATGTAACATCCTAATTTTTAGGCCTAGAAGTACCAGAAATAGCCTGAATTGGATAGGCTACTAGACACCTTTTGAGCAGAAGTCCCAAAGATGAGAAAAGAAATTAAAACAGTTTCAGGGACTAAAATGCAAAATAAAAGTTTTCAGGGGCTCAAGTATAATCAAGGCTAGAGGCTCCAGTAAAGTCTTAAGGGCTCAGAAAGAGAAAAGAGAGTAGAAACAGGCCAAGAGTTAAGTTAGAAACCTCAAAGAGAGGATTGTATAAAGTTAAGTCCAAGTAGGGACTAAACAGTAAATTCAGAAAATTATAACCAACAGGGGTAAAAATGAAAGAGTATATAGAGAATTCCAAGAAAATCCCAGAAAATGGGAAATAATATTCTAAGACGTTTTTGTGAAGAGAAATGATGAAAATACCCCTGAGGTAGCTTAAATAGAATTTATGAGGTTATGGCCGGTAAAAAGTATACCGTTTGAGGTAATTATTTGAAATAGCAAAAGACCTCAAAAATGTATAAAAAAATGAAATTAAATGGTTGAAAGGTTGTACTAATTTATAAAATTAGTCCCGCAACCAAAAGACTAGTGGAATGGCTTTAATAAATTAAAAAGCCAATTATGCTGATAAAAAGGCATTTTAGTAAATGAATTTTATGCAAGGCTTAAAGGGAGTATTGTGGCCTGAAAAAATTTATAGATATTCTATAGAATAAAAAGGAAATTATGGAGCAGACAAAAGAATTTTTTGAGTTCTGAAAGGCTGTCAAGAAAGTTGGAGAAACGTGAGCCAAGTAAATTAAGAGGAAACTTGGGGAACAAGTTTGATCCAATAGCTAGGATCTAATCTCCCTTCTCCTCCACCAATTTTGTGACACCTAGCACCTTCTAGAAGAATGAGGTAAGGATGATATAAGAAGATGATGCAATGATGATGTAAAAGTCAACTTAGAGTTTCAAACTTGCCTTTACCCTTTCTATTAGCCACCAAGGGCATTTTGGTCCATTCAAGCCAAAGTTTTGGCTATAAATACCCCACCTTGGAAGAGTATTTTGGAAGCAATTTGTAGAGGGAAAACTCTGCCAAAATTTAGAGAGAAAAACGTGAGGGTGAAGGCCAAGAAGAAGGAACAAGATTCAAGCTTCAAGATCAACGTATGTGATGGTTATAGCATCTGACTTGATACCTATTTCAAATAATTTACTCTTTGTATATAATTCTGACATTTGTCATGATTAAAGTACACTCTGTAAGATTTAAATCCATGGGTAGAACACTTCATTTGGATATATGTACGATTTATGGTGATTTTTCAAAGTTAAAGTTTGAAATATGGAAACAGTGTTTAACCTTTGGAAGAGTGTCCAATTCCATACCATTCTGGTACTGTTCAGCATAGTATTTGTTTCTGAAACTATTTTTTCTTTAAAGATAACTTAAGGAGATTTTAGTGAGACTTACAACCACTCAGTTTTAATTTTTCTAAAATTAATTATGAATTTTCAAAGTTGAGTAAAAATTCTGGAATTTCTGCGTGAACAGTACCCGTTAAGCAAAATTTTCAGATTTGATCTTCTTAAATCTAAGGCCATCTAAAGTGGTCCTAATTGATAAGAAATGGATCTTAAGGATAAGAAATGATGAGATTTATGTTAGAAAAGCTAGAAAGAAAATCCTAAAACGAAGAGAAAGGGTTGAAGTTCAAGAGAGCTAGTCTTGAACATTATGTAATCTGGTGGTTCTAATAGATTGTGTGATCATTATGATTATATTTAGGACCTTGGAAAATCCAAGAGGACATTTGGTGATGTTAACCAAATGCCCACATGGCTGGAAAGTCAAGGGAGTCAAAGGAAAAGTAAGAGGAAAGCTTGAGGTGCAAGGTAGTGAATTTACCTATTATCATTGCTTGATGTTGTATGCTTGTGTGTTGCTGTGTACATGTTATTTGAATGTTAATGTAACATGTTTTAGCTGCTGTAATTGCTATTCATGATAAGTATATTATGTCTCCATGGCCATGCATCAAGAAGTTAGCGTTGAGCATACTAATATGTCACTAATTAACAAGAGAATAAACAAGTTACGTGTAGTGCATTAGCATCCATCTAGCATGATTAATATGGTATTGTCTGCTGCTGAGATTCCTTTGAATCTCACCCCCTCCCTAACCAACCATTTAGGTCAATCATCAATGGGCAATAATAGCATGAGAAGCAAGGAGAAGAAAGTGGAGAATTGTTCATGTTAATGAATGATATTATTATTCAATGTGTAATTCTCCTATTATGTAATTTATGTTATGGATGCCTATGATGCCATGTAATTAATTATAATGTTTTTGGAATGAATGAGAGTGTGTGAGCATGAATGTAAAAGAGTAAGCCCATGTTATGTATGCCAATGAAATAAAAAGAATTAAAGTAAAAAGATGTTAAGAGATAAAATGTAGGTCCTAGAGCAATGAGTTTGTAGCCCCAGTTTGACCTATCAAACGAATGAGTTAAGTCACGAGATTTAGAATATTTATATTACACATCCAAGCTTTAAAATGAGACCTATATCACCTCAATTGGGTGTGTACACAAAGAGATATGAATTTTCAAAGTTGAGGTACATAATCTGAAAGTTTCAGATTTTACGAAATAAATAGTAATATTTATTGATTAAATTGTACGAATTGGGCAAGGATAAGTCCAATTGGATATTTTTTCCCTCAAGATCATCAAAATAGCTTTCTGTTGAATTTTAGAAAACCTCAATACGATTTTTATGGAATTAGTTATGAATTTTTGAAGTTGGGCCTATAATCTGGAACTTAAACAGTGAATAGTAACCCGACTAATTATGTTGAAATTTTAAATCCACGGGCTTGTATCATGATCTACTTGAACCATAACGCTTACGAATGTGTACTTTGAGGGGTTAAAGGCAGGGCATTTCACTTAAACATATAATCAAGCTCAATTGACAGTGGAACTATTCTAATTCATGGGGATATCCCAACAGATATAATACCAAAGATCTTGTCTGTAGGTCAAGTTAAAATAGTAGGACCGTAAATGTTTTTCCTATAATGCAGAATTATCATTACTACTACTACAACTTATGTGAAGTTTGTTGGCTTCAACTTGACTGGTTTGGTGATGTGGCGTCAATGTGAAACATCCTTCCTTTAACCCCTTAGAGTACGCACTTGGAAACATTATGGTTTAAACAATTCACAAAATAAACCTATAGATTGAAAATTTGTAATTGGTTTTTGGGTTACTGTTCATTGGTTCAATTCCAGATTTTTGGTCTAATTTTGAAAAATCATAACTAATTATAGAAAAATCGTATTAAGGTGGTTCAAAATTCTATTTGAAGCAGAGTTCTCTATAAGGAAAAAATATAAAACTGAACTTAACCCTTGCCAATTTGTATAGTTTGTTTATTGAAATTTACTGTTTATTTAGTCAAAACTGTACGTTCTAGTTTCTCTACCCTAACTTTGATCAAGCATAACTCTTAGCGCACATCCATTTTAGGTGATCTATCACTTGTTTTAAAGCTCAAGATGTGTACTTAACCATACCAAATTTCATGGGTAGATTCAATTATTTACTTTACTTTCACTCTATCACTAATTCGTG